AATATATTATTCTATATAATGTATACTCCTACAAATCTTTACTATTGGTACTCCTACTATACGGTCCTTCTCTTCGTCATTTTGCGTTTGGTATTTTTTTTCACAAAAAGTAGCGATATAGCTCACATATTCAAAATGATTGGCAATGTTTACCTAACTCAAATTGGGAATACACCTACCAAATTAGAAAACACATTACGTGAGATCATTAGAAAGAGTGATTGATAAGTTTAACTTTTTTCATAAACTTTTATAGCAGTATAGTTAGTAATTTCCAGCAGCTTTTTGAACAATTAAGCCTTAAATATAATAAATAATACATATTACTTGAAAAGTATATATATAATTCTTTTTGAATTATTGTGATCAAATTTTGTCATTTATACTTTTTTTTGTATGTAGTACTGTAATCAACCTAAAAAATAAAGTGGATACAAGTTCTTCTGAGCTTTTCATCTGGAATTAGAAGCTAGTGACATTATTTTTTTTACTTTTATTAATAAAAAGGTGATGAGAACTTGAAATTTTTATTTTATTCTGCATTTTATAATTTTTGTATTTATTTATACTATTTCATTACCTTTAGAAAGCTAACTGCCTGAATCGAACAAATACAGTTTTATACTATCTAAATGAATAATCATACTAATGAATAATGAAAAGTATTATAATGAGAGTAATGAAGAGGATTGTAATAAGAATAATGAATGGTATTATAATAAGAATAATGAAGGGTGTTATGATAAGAATAATGAAGAATATTACAATAAGAATAATGAAGGGAATAACAAAGAGTATAATTATTATGATATAGAGTTAGAATATATAGATACTGACTTGAAGTTAGTAGAAAGAAATATTAGTTTGGAAATAGAGCACATAGAAGTAGAATCTAATAGTTATCTAGCTAGAACAGATAGTTCGAATCTTAGTAAAGTTTTACAGTTATCTACAATTCAGCATAAAAAAAGAGCTAAAAAATCAAAAGATAGTCTTGTTAAACCTTTTTATGAGGTAGTGTTAGTTAATAATGTAGAATATTAGACTTGTCACCACAAAAGCTGTTTATGAACAAAATACAAAAAAGACAGTACTACATCAAATTTATGAAGACATTTGAGAAGCAAATATCACATTTCAAGAGCGATAGTGAAAAGTAAACAGGTAAAAATAGAAAAAAAAAATAGGAACAAGTATGAATTTCATATTATAGCAGAATTCTCACAAGGAATATTAATAGAGATATTTAGCAAAGTAGCGAAATATTCATTCAATTATCTAAAGCAAAAAAAACTCAACAGCAATCTTGCTGCTTTTATTGTTGAAGAACTCTAGCCTTTTTCAATCCTAAGATCACAAACTTTAATAAAAATAATAGAGGATCTGAACTCTCAAGCTAGTGTTTTAAGCAAAAATCAGTTAAAAGAAATTTTGATCAATGCTAAGGATAGAGTTATGCAAAGTATGCGTGAACATGCATATAATGACAAAAAAATTTGTTACATCTCATTTACCACTGATATATGGACTTCTGATAATGATGATTTGTACATTAGACTTATATTTCATTGAGTAAATGAAGACTTCAAGTGTGAGAAATAGTTAGTAAGATTTCATACCTCCTATACCCCCATACAGCAGAGCAACTTGCAAATAAAATTATTGAAATTTTGAACAAATTTCAGCTTATAAGTAAAGTTGTGTATTGCACAGCTGATAATGGTGTGAACATTAAATCATGTTTAAGAAAGTTAGAAGATAGGTATAATATATTCAAAAATTTTTGTTTTGGTCATACTTTAAATCTTGTAGTTAATGATGTGTTAAAGAGATGCCTTAAAATTATCAATATTATAAAGAAATACAAGGATATTGTGTCACATTTCAGTGGAAGCCCAAAACAAAAACAGTTTTTATTAATAGCTTAGATAACAATAGATAATTAGGATAGGTTGCTTTCTGTAGTTCGTGATGTTTCAACACGGTGAAACTCTACATTTTACTTGTTAAAACAATAATTATTCTTAAACTAGTACTATATAGATATAAATCTTTTTTAGTTAAAGATAATGAGAGTGATTCATTAAAAAGCTACGAGAAAAAAGAACTGTTATCTGAAGAGTAGGAAAAAATAGGTGAGTTAGTTGAACTATTGCATCCATATGAGATTATTTTAATGCAATTATCTGGTTCACAGTATCCAACACTTTTACAAGCTTAGTTTATGATTAATTATATTAAATTAAAAATTAATAATATATTAATAGATAATGTATTAATATCTAATATTAAAGTTAAAAATTTTAGAAAATATTTTCCAAACACGGTTCTCAGAACTGATCTAATTAATTTGACTTGCTGCTTTTTTTGACCCTCGAACTAAAGATATGCAAATTTTTACAGATAATAAAAAATGTCATACTATTTTAGAAGCATATATAGAGTATGATGAACTAGCCTCAAATAATGAATTTAAAGAGAGTCAATCAAATTCTTTAATGTCTAATAATATTGAGAAGGATATTTTTTTTATTTTAGTGCCTACTTGCTCTCAACTAAGCCAAAAAGATAGCAACAACGAATTTGATTTATACTTACTATTACTAAGAGCTCCAAGCAAAATGAATATACTTTAATAGTAGGTATCAAGAAAAGCTGAATATCTAGTACTTGCAAAATTAGCTCGCAAGTATCTATTAATTCTAGCAATATCCATACCATCCGAGTACCTTTTTTTAGCTACAGGTCTTACCATTACTGAAAAGTGAACAAACCTTAATCATCAATTTGTTGGAACAATTTTGTATCTTAAAGTAGCACTAAAACTTTGGCTGATTTCACATGTTTTCAAATAGATAAATTTTTATTAAATTTTAATTTAATAAAAATTTAAATATGGCAATAATAATAATAAAAAATAAAAGTATCATCTTTTGTAAATTAGTATAATAATTTGCAGGTAAAGATAATTTAAAGACCACTTGATTAAATATGAATTGGTATTTATATTAACTATTATACAATTAAAATAAGATTCGTGTAGGATAATATACACAGAAGTTATTCATGGCATCAAAAATTTTTATAACAATATGACTGAATTAATAAAAAATATTTTTAATAATTTAAATAATAGATTTATTCCTTATACTCATATGCATTTGTGAGTTGATATTGAATTTAGATAATTAGAGATTATGTAAAATATTAATTTATTATGCAAATTAATACATACTAATGATATATTGGTAACAGTTTAGTCTAATATATTAATGACCTCATAGAAAGACATTTGTATAATTAGCAGTAATTTATTTATATGTTTAAATTATGAACAAAAATCAAAAGAATGTCAATATTTACTATACAAAATAATTAAAATAATTAATTACTCGAATAATGTCACTTATAAGTAAGGGTTTAATATTTTAATTAATACGATACTATATAAATTTCACTTGATAATTAGTTTAATTTAATTAGTCAATAGTTACATTTTGATGCTATGATGTTTGATTCAGGTCAGGCCAATTTTTAACCTGTAACCCATATAATCTGTCGAGTCAGGTCAACTTGTATAAGTTAACTAACTTAGGTAACATCTCTATTAGCTCTAAAAGTACCCCCAAGAAGTAGCTAAACTAGAAATAGAAATAAAAGAACTTGTAAAAGACCTCTGCATACACAATCTAAAAGGAACAGAAATTGCAAATCTGCTAAATAATAAAGAGTTAAACACTTTCATGAACTTAGATAAAATGAATTTCTTTATTCTTAAACAAGTAATAGACCACTTAGGAAGTACTCTTCTAATCTGGCATCAGTTAAAATATATAAGAGGAGAGAAAAAAAAGAAACACATATCAAGTTAGTTTACAAAGTTAGAGGAGAAAACTTTAAAAGGAAGAGACTCAAGGAAGGTGCAAGATATATACAAGGTTGAAGAACTCAACAAAAGTGCAAGTAAAATTCAACCTAAAAGAGTATCTATAGACAAAAGAAAAAAAGAGTAGATTCTCTTCAAAAAAGAAAGAGTAATACATTTAGACAAAACTATAAAGAAACCTAAGAAAAGCATAATAGTAATATACTAGAAAGAAAACAAACAAGAAATAGGAGACCAGTTCTTTTTTAAATGTAACAAATGCAAAAAAAAAGCAAAGAGAACAACAGCGTAGATTACAGAATATAAAGAGTGAAAGTATTGATGAGTCCTGAGAAATTGTAGCTAGGGCGATAACAACAGCTGCAAATGAATATATACTATTAACAAAAGTACAAAACACAAAGTGCTAGATAAGAAAAGAAGCACCTAAGTCAATATTATATAATAGAGCTAAGGTACTAGGTAAACTATATAGAAAAGGTATGAAGAACCTAGAAGAAAGTACAGATGAGGTTGAAGAATTGTTGTATAATGCACGTATTAGACAGTTAAATAATGAGTACGATATACAAATTCCTGAGCTAGTAGGCAAATGGAATGAAGAATGGTGTAAAGAGATAAAAAATTAGTGGAACATATTAAGAGAAAAGGCTAAAAAAGAAGTAAAGACAGAAAAAGAAAAGGAAATTAGAGAGTATATTGAGAGAAGGTTCGCAATAGATACAGCAGAACCAAAAAAAATACTCAATAGTTTGCTAGAGAGGCACCATAGCAAAATAGTATTAGACAAAGTACTAATCAATAGTGAGAGTAAGTTTGAAAACAAAATATTAATTACAGAGAATGAGAAAGTAAAAGAAGTAGTAGTATAGTATTTTCAGAAGCAATTTCAATAAAGAAATCACAAATTTGATAAAATAGAAGAAGAGTGAATGAAAATTTATGAAGAACAAAACAACATTAAAGAAGAATAGTACAAAGAAGTAATAACAGAAGTAAGAGAAGAAGAATAGAGAGAAGTAATATATTTATTGCAAAAAGATACAGCACCTAGAATCTCTGGTATTGGTTATAAGCTAATTAAAAATGTGAGCGTAGAAAGTACAAGTCACATAATTGACCTTGCAAATAAAGTTATTGTAGGAGGAGAGTTTCCAAAGAAATAAAAGCTTGATCAGATATACTTAATTCCTTAAAGTAACAACTGGGAACATAATCTGGTATCCACTTATCCAATTATACTACTAGAGACATTCTGCAAACTAGTAATCAGAATTGTACAAATAAGACTTTGCAAAGTAATAGTATAAAAGAGAATGCTTAAAGGTACTAATTATGCAGGTCTGCCTAGAAAAAGCATAATAGTACTAATACATATCTTGAATAATGTAATGAAGATGCTATACAAAAAAATAATGAACTCTGAATTGCATTTTAGGATATGAAAAAAGCTTTTGATTCAGTAAGCATGACTGCACTCGAGTTTGTAATAAAGAGAATAAGATTTTCTGAAAGTCTGATTAAGTTTATTAAACAGTTATATAAGGATCGTGAAATAAAAATCATTATAGATAATGAACCAACAAGTATTTTTACAGCAGGTAATGGAATTGATCAGGGTGAAGTAATATCACTTCTAATATAGAGAATTTTTATGATCTATTATTAGTACACATACAACAGGCAAGACTCGGCTATGAAATATATCTTAAATAGCTATCAGATATAAGCAGAAATATTATGAGAGATGAGAAAATTGAGTTGTAGCATTAGACTATGCAGATAATACTACATGGGTAGCAAACTCAAAAGATTCACTACAAAGCATTATAAATATCTCAAATGATTTCTTTGAGCTCAATGATATAGAAATTAACAGAGCAAAGTCTGAGCTAATCATATGGAAGCCAAACAAGAAGGCAAAAATAACAGAAGGAATTTGAGTAGGAATGCCTCCTAAGTTCATTGAAGCCAAAAAAGCAAAAAAAAGTACAAAGTTTCTTGGTATTTAGATAAATCTTAAAAGACAAGAAAAGGCAAGCAGAAGCTAATGCAAAAAAGTTGTTAGCTATTTGATAAGCATGCTAAGGATAAAAAAATTATCGATTAATCAGATAGTATATCTAAACAATATAGTTTTGTTACCAAAATTAGAATATATACTATTAAATATAATAATCAATAAAAAGAAATATGATAAAATACACTAACTATTCATAAAACTATTGAAGCAAAAAGTAGAGCTGCTAATCATATATACAAATACAACAGTCTTACATAATGAAATATTCAAAGTTATAAGCTTATAACAAAAGCACATAGAGCACTATGTATCAGAACTTTTTGTACGAATAAATTCAAGTGGTTTACTAGAAGATACAACAATTATACGCTTGAAACAATATCAGTTAGATACAAACTCAGCAGAATATATCTTAACATCAAAAAGCAGTAAATTAAAAAACATAATCAGCAGGAATCTCAGAGCTAAAGTTTTATAGATAGCTAAAAAACTTGGCTTCACGGTCTTCAAAAGTATAGATATAGAGTGCTAGCATGTGATTAAGCTATGCAAAAGAAGAGATTTGCTAATTCAAAGTATACTCTCAAAAGCAAACTAGGAAAAGAGTATTGGCGAGGCCAGTAGATTAAATATATGGTATTTAAATCAACTACTAGATTCTGAAAAGAAGCACATAATTACATAGAGGTAGCTTAAAGTATTAAAAGAAAAAAAACATGTTGGGAAAAAAGCAAAGTGGTTTGCTCTTCTTGAAGTAGAAATAATCGAAAACATATTTATGAGAGAAATTAAAGAAAAGTTTAAAAGTGAGTATGAATTGCAAATAGAGTAAGAAAAAAAGGAAGTATCAAGTAATAGAAGAAAAAGAGAGTGGATACTTTTGGAGGCGAAAACTGAAAACAAAAAAAAAAGTTGACAAATCACAAGAAAGAGCAAAAAAACAGCAGAAGTAGAACTATGAGAAGAGGATAAAGAAAATAAAAGATAGCAAGAAAATGGCTACAATGAAGAGTTTAAAA